TAAAGCGTTTAACATTGCAAAATTCATTTTATTTCTGTGCTTATTTTTAACGAAATTTATTATAGAAAACGTCCTTTCAACTTCTGCGTTACTTAAAGGTAAAAGAAGCAACCGATAAACAAACTTTTTCCACCACTTAAGCTAGCGACACAATGAACAGTTTATTTGCCTTAAAGGAAAGGCGTTCGCTTTATGAGGGAAGAGTTAAATTCATGAAAATTATATAAAAAATTTTAATGTCAATGATGAATAAATTTTGAAAAGGGCTAAAAAAAGGGCTAGGGGCAATTTCAAATTTTTGTGGCCAAAAAAAGAATTTGGTAGCCAAATTTAGCCATCAAAGGGCTAAAACGGCAACACTGATGTGAATGTATGTCAACGATGGGCTCACGCACACAACTACATTTTGCGAAAACAGTGAGAGCATTCAGTTGGTGTTAAATGTTCGGTAAGTGAGTTGAGGCTTTTAAGAAAATGCTTGTTGACACGGCAATAAAATCAATAAAAGCGCGATCACATCCTCACCGCATGAGTGTTCGACACCAACTGACGGTATGCAGTTTTATGGTCCATTCAATGTTAGTATTATAAAGTAAAAGTGCGGCTAAGAATTCATGTTGATTTTTAAATTTTTTGCATTTTCTTTATACAAATCGGATGTACAAAAATTTCAGTATGGAAGAAAAAGTGCAACACTTTCAACGAAAAAAATTCTCAAAAATCTACGCGAATTGAATGTACTATCTCGATCATTTAAACATCCCGGACTCGTCCGTCACTATAAATGATAATTTAAATCTAAAGTATACATTAAATGATATTTAATATTTGCTTTAGAGATGAAATTTCGACAAATTTGTTTAAACAAAAATGTTAAGCGCATATGCAGAATGTGGAAGCGAGATTCTTCTGCTTGCGTTTCTATGTTTATATCATTTATCAGTTTAAGCACATACGATTAAATGTAAAAAACAAAAAATATTTTTAATTGCGGATCCGAAAGAAATATTTATTAGTTACATTGAGCTACGCAAAAATAGTGCCGAAAATCAATCGATTGTGCTGAAGGTGCCGGCTGCTNTCGCCAAAGTGAACTCAGCCGTTTTGTTTTCGTATTGTACCGAACTGTTAAAGTAATAAACGAAACGAAATAGTAACGTACAATATAGTTTATTTTCGTACACTGTTTCCATCACTATTACACGTACAATCTCACTATTCTGCTGACTTTGTTTTCCCCTTCCGATTACTTTTTGCTTCAGCGCTTGCCTAGCACCGCTGTGCAAAGCTTTGCACGCGCAGTCGCCCGCGACACATATGTGCTGATTTGGGCATCTCTAGTCTAGGTCACAATATTATTAGGTGGAGTGATACATTTTCTGTCAAATAATTTTATAATTCATAGGGTCAGTAGGGAGGAATAGATTTGTATGGGATCTCGTTAGCGTAATAATATATCGAGGGCTTATATTCAATACCTTCTATCTTCACTTTTCACAAAAATGAGATTATGATATAAAAATCCACCTAAGACATCATCGGTCATATAAATGCTGACCTCGTATAACGCTTGACAGAAGAATTTATTAATAAATTGCAAAGTCAGAATCAACTTCAGTGATGATCAGAGGTAAGTCCCAGATAGGTTCTAACATCCCAAATAGTTTTTGTGAAAATTGCAGATAGAGGATATTGAATATAAGCTCTCGATATGGATAGTAAATGGTGAAACAAAAGCAGGAATTTATACAAAAATTCGAATAATTCGGCTCTGGAGCCACTTATCGGGTCCATTTTACGCAGGAATATTTCTCTTGATTTTGGTAACATTTGAATTTACGCAAATTTGACAATAAATGAAATTTTTGAGAACTCGACTCCTGCGCCACCTACCGGAAAAACAAAATGCGCATCTCCCCTTTGAAATACCTTTCGAAGAAAAGAACAATCATTGAAATCGGTTGAGAAACATAGAGGAATAGATTCGTATGGGATTTCGTTAGCGTTTTAATATGTAGATTATTGATTGACTTTTGTTTTTTTCTCTTATAATAGTTGTACCTCTGTGATTTACGCATTCGAAAAGATGAGAGAATGGCTAGTGCAGACAAATTAACTCTCGTGCATAGCTGAGTAAATAGCGAAGACAAATTCTCGCCAGCTACCTGCGGTACACCGTGTACAATAATAGCCCTGTAAGGTAGAGCACGTTACGTACATACATTCCGCTCAAGGATCAAACTGACAGTTGAGTAGACTGCGTGTGTTTGCATAGAGAGCGCCAGATTGGCAAAAGTGTGAATCTATTGCTATTGTATCTGCAAAATTGACTTGTGTAAACCCCAAGTACGCGGTTATTGTGGCGCCACTCTACGTTCTTTTACGTCACATCATTTTCATCCTTGCGCTTCATGTTTGTAAAGTACTCATTCTGCTTAATACACCGTGACACCAACGCATTCTCCAGCTCATCGAATTGCTGACAAATTGTGAGAACTACTTGGTTTTGTTCCCCATTTTCGCCGCGCAGTTTTTCTAGCGCCCTCACTTCTATTTCATCAATATTTTTCATAGCTGATTTAAGGTTTGAAAGTTAAGCCGCGATCTACCAATTTTTTTGTATAGCGCGCTCTTCATTGCCGTTCAATTTTTTAACTATGCTCTCTATAGACGTTTCCAATTCCTTTTCAAGCCTCTCAAATAACCGAGCCACAATCGGTCGATTAGCTTCTTTTGCATGTATTTGTTTTACATGAGTTCTTTGCGGAGAGGATGCATTGCGGGCGCTTTTCCTTTATATTGACATATTCTTTTGCTGATTAAATTTTATTATTCTCACAATTTCAAAACACGTCTAATAAATTTTCTTCTTAACTCGAACTGCGGGAAATTGTTTTTAAATTCATCAAAGATGCCCTTTTAGCTTCAAAAATCTTCGCGGGTAACTGCTAGTTTTTATAAATATAGATAGATAGATAGATTTCAAGCTAAATCTTTCATAAAACCCTTTCGTTTGACACTCATATCTATACTGATATATATTTTGAAAGCCGCTTTTTTTCTGTTCGCAAAGCTCGAGATCGGCTGTACCGATTTTTTTTTTAATTTCAGACACCTGCTGCAGAAATTCAAAGGATGGTTATTGGCCAACAAAAATCTCGATATATAAAAGGAACTTGGATCCTCCTATACAAACCGAATTTTTCATACTCCATATCTCTGGAAATGTTCATGGTAGAGTTCTGGGACTTGGTTTGGAGATATATGAAAGCCATCGCATACTCTTGGAGAAAAATTGGACCTATCGGAGAAGGGGGCGTGACACCTCCCATACAAACGGAATATTCATACTGCATATCTCTGGAAGTGCTCATGGTAAAGTAATGGAACATGGTATTGGCGCATATAAAATCAATCGCATACTCTTGCAAAAAAATTGGAGCTATTGGAAAAGAGGGCGTGGTACCTCCCATACAACCCGAATATTTCATACTGCATATTTCGGGAAGCGTTCATGATAAAATTTTTAAACTTGGTACGGAAATATATGAAACAAATCGTATACTCATGGAAAAAAATTGGAGTTATTGGAAAAGGGGCATAGCACCTACTATACAAACCGAATTTTTCATACAGTATATCTCTGGAAATGTTCATGGTAGAGTTTTGGAACTTGATATGGAGATATATGAAATCCATCGTATACTCGTGGCGTGGCATCTCCCATACAAACCGAATTTTTCATACAGTATATCTCTGGAAATGTTCATGGTAGAGTTTTGGAACTTGATATGGAGATATATGAAATCCATCGTATACTCGTGGCGTGGCATCTCCCATACAAACCGAATTTTTCATACAGTATATCTCTGGAAATGTTCATGGTAGAGTTTTGGAACTTGATATGGAGATATATGAAATCCATCGTATACTCGTGGCGTGGCATCTCCCATACAAACCGAATTTTTCATAATAAGTATCTCTGGAAGTGTTCATGGTAGATTACTGGAACTTTATACGGGCGTGGCACCTCCCATACAAGTCGAATTTTTCTTATTGCATATCTCTAGAATTGTTATTGGTAGTTGTTATTGGTAGTCATGGAGAAAATATGGAGCTATTGGAAAAGGGGGCGTGGAAGTGTTCATGGTACAGTGCTGGAGCACTTTGTATGGAGATATATGAAATCAATCCCATACTCATTGAGAAAAATGGGCTCCTTGAAAAGAGGGCGTGGTAAAGTACAAACGTATTGACTATTACTTATCTTTGAATAAGTATATAATTCTTCTGTAGGTATATTTGTGAGTGAAATCCAAAATGGCTGGAGGGATTTTAAGAAGGTTTTAGTGTGTGTTTGAGTGGGTCTTTAGATAGTAAATCGGCAAACGATCACCAAACCATAGTCTTAGCCGATGAATGTGCTTCTTTAAGTACATATTATACATACATATGTATGTCTTGTTTATAAGTAAACTAAAATCCTCCTTCCAAACAGGTCGCAACTTTTTAAAAAATATTTACAAACTTAAGCCTTTCTTAACCTCTTTCGTCTGATACCCTAATTGTGATTACCCAACTCCTTTAATTTAAATTGAATTTGACAACCCCCATACATTTTTAAGAAATAAAGCATTTTAATTTTTTCGATTGATACCGAATATGTTCTGCATTTCAACCTCTGTCAATTTGAATTGCAAGCTCCATTCTATGGAAATGTGAATTGTAGAACCTCTCTAATTATAATAATTGATTTATCTTATTCAATAATTTGAATTAAACTTTTTAACAGATGGCAACTCTTTTCGAAAAAATCAAACCTTAGCGCACATCTAACTGCCAAGCCCTTTAATTTGACACCTCATTATTGAAAACGGAGCGATCGGTGCAAATCTGATGACATTAACAAAAATTACCTTCGCTTGTTGTAATTATACGAGCATTTTTCTGCATAATAAGGAATATTTATTTTAATCTTAATCTCAATCTCATGGTCGAGCTTAATATTAATCCTAATCTTAAACTTACGCCAAAGAAAACATTCTATGGCTGACTATTATCTTTACTACTGCGTCTAATACTATGCCGCAAATTTATTTTAAGCTTTATAATGGTGAGAATGTCATTGCTATTGTTATGACCTACTGAGTTCTCGACAACGGCGAAACAATGTTAATATGTATTATGCTTTAGACTTAGACTTTTTAGATTTTTCGTTTGGAATTAGCGTCCAACGAGTGCGTCGCTTTTTCGTTACATCGGTGTTTTCATTAAATACCAAACGAATGAAATTATTCTCCGTCAACGCGCATTTTAGTATATAATAATTACTTAGATAAGTACATAATTAAGATGGATTTTTTTTCGGACAAACAATAAATACTAGAAATCACAAATATTTTTTATTTATAGGATTTTCGTAAAAGAACACTGATTATTAGTTTACAAGATTGGTGGATTTATAAATCCAAATACATAATTTTTGTGGCTGCTATTGCTCCGCAAAAGCTTAAAAAGCTCGCTGTGCTAACCACCGCGGTCGTTGTACCGGATATCCTTACTATAGTACCCATACATATTGACAGAATAAACTGCGCAAGGAAAACCATACTGCTAACAACCGCTATGTCTGTTCCCAACCCACGGACATTCGATCCTAGTTTGGGTGTACCGGTACCGTCAAGCTCGAACTGAAAAAATTAAAAAACAATATTTATGTCATAAAGCAGTTATATTAGTCTTAAATTAATTGGTAAAATAATGTCCTACCATTGCCGCAAGAGCGTCAAAATCCAAATTATCAAAAGCTCAGAAACCGGCTTTAAAGTGTATAGTTTACATAAGCTCCCATAGTAAAAATGAAGAAGTATTTTCTTATAATGAGATACAGAACATAGAATATGAAATAGCGGTCATGTCGGCATACTTAACTAAACTAATAAATATATGGGTCATTCCATACAATATTTACACCTCAATATTTTTATTGGGGTGATATATGTATATTTGTTTACATTCTTTATCGAAAAAAAGAAGACACCTATTTTTCTCTAAAACAATCTTTCTCTAAAGAATACAAAAAAAATAAATAAAAAATAAAAATTTTTCTCTAAAGAAAATCTCTAAAAAAATTCCCGAAATTTTGAACTCACGGGGAAGTATCTTTTTTTAAATGTTTGCAGTTAATAAACTATTTGTCGGAGAAAATCAGTTAAGGTAATGAAAATGTGAGATAGATTAAAAAAAATGTTTGCATTAAAAATCGCATTTTTTATTTTTAATTTTTTTTTATTAACTTCATCATGTTTGATTTTTATTTTTTTTTTCAACCTGAACAGTTGCGAAACTTTATGGAATACGCTGCAAAAATTTGAGAATGGAAACACCAAAACTGTAGAAGTCACGAGGTTTTTCATACCTGCGTACATAAACTTCAACAGTTTTGGTGTTTCCATTCTCAAATTTTTACAGCTTACTCTATAAAGTTTGACAACTATTCAGGTTGAAAAAAATAAAAATCAAACATAATGAAGTAATAAAAAAAATAATAAAAAATAAAAAAGTGCGATTTTTTAATGGATTTTTTCTTTATTTAAATCTATCTCACACTCTCATCGAAAGCCGAGGTAACTACGCACATTTTGATATTAGCTGANAATAAAAAAAATAATAAAAAATAAAAAAGTGCGATTTTTTAATGGATTTTTTCTTTATTTAAATCTATCAAACACTCTCATCGAAAGCCGAGGTAACTACGCACATTTTGATATTAGCTGATTTTCTCCGACAAATTCGGGGATTTTTTTTCGAGATTTTCGAATATCATGACGTAATAAAAAAATAGGTTCTTCTTTTTTTTCAATAAAGAATGTAAAAAAATTTATTTCACCCCAAAAAAAAATATTGAGCTGTAAATATTGTATGGAATGACCCACATGTATCTTTGGATTATGACACTCTTATACAAAGGGAAATACGATATGTATGTACATTTGTACATTGAGCTGGGTCGTCATGATTAATTTTTGGGATAGAGACAATGCGTAGGGTATACATTTGTCTACATGATTTTATTTAGCTTATAAATCTGCAGATGGTTATTTTATTAAATACAAATTAAATAATTCATTTCTTATTGTTTCATATAAAAAATGAAGCCCGTTTGCGCATAGTAAAGCTCGCTATACAGTTCAATGCGAGCGTGAACGAGAACTTTTTAATTTGACTAAAAACTCGTTATTAATTCACTTTTTTTTTAATAGTTAATATATCAAAGGATAGATAATTAAAATATCTTTCAGAATTATAGAAATAAAAGAAATTTAAAATGTACAATATATTTTACAAGCTCACACTCAACTGTGTGCGTACGCAAAGCGTTCGCATATGAACGGCAAGTTTTGGCAGATCTGTGTGAGCGTGCAAAAGAATACAAATGGAATTCTTTGCCAAAAATCAGCTTATATAAGGCTCATTCCATCTCAAATCACCCAGGCCGGGGGAAAGGGAATTTAAGTTTGCGATAAAACTCACAGGGATTGTTCCTTGAACAATTTAAGGAGACACGTATTTTTTCTTTTTGCTCAGAAATGTGAATTTTTCGAATAATAATTTTTTTCTTTTTGAATACGAACGCTTCTTTTTTCCTCTCTTAATAGCAACTTTTGATGAAATCGTTTATAACTGCCGCAAAAAAGCAAGGATTTTAACGTTTTTTTTTTTAAATTGCAGATATTGATCTACTGAATCGATCTAGTGAACTAAACATCAGAAATTGTTTATTAATAATTAATTATTGTTTATAAACAACATTTTTTTTTTTTTCAAATTGTTTTTTTTTCAAATTGCCACATCTTTTTTTCTCTCAAACTTTTTTGTCTATTAGGGAATAGTATAAACTATTTTCAGTACGAGTAGCAATATGCTAAAATTCGTCATTTTCGAGTTATGATTTTTTTTCTGAAAATGCACTTATATGATGCTAGCAGATTTTCGTGCCAGTTGAGGGCACAAAAATTGTTGCCCATTATGACAAAATTTCCTTGCTGGAAATTTTTTGAGGTTGCCCGATCAGAGCCAAAAGTTTTTCCCAATTGGGCTCTAATTTTGGCCCAATTGGGACACAATTAGCGATTTGCTAAAAAAAATTAGTTTTTGAAACTATGCCATCTCAAAAAAAAATTGGAAAAAATCACATTGGTAGCTCTGAGTATTTCGCAATATTTAAGTATAATGTTATGGGGTGCACTCTACAATAATTTGAGTTATGAATTTTTTTTACTCCGAAGTTGAGTAAAATGAGGGCATTACCAATTTACAAATTTTTTAAATTTTTTTATAATTTTTTTGAATATGCAGTTTTATAGCACATTAAATTTTAGTACAATAAGGTGGAAGTTTTAAGCGATTGAAAAACTGCGGTTATTTTTATTTTTTTTTTCTTTGAAAACGGGTTTAGGCATTTTCATCGATAAGGAAAAAGTGCAAGAAGCCGTGAGCATAAACAATATTAAAAATCAACGCAATTTTGCAGTAGCTTAACACTTGCACTTTATTATACTCAAATGTAATGGCCTACAAAATTGCATACTCAAAAAAATTCTAAACAAAATTTTAATTTTTTTTTTAATTGTAATGTACTCACTTTACTCACCTTCGGTGTAAAAAAAATTCATAACTCAAATTATTGTAGAGTGCACCCCATAACATTATACTTAAATATTGCGCAATACTCAGAGATACCATTGTGATTTTTTCCAATTTTTTTTGAGATGGCATATTTTCAAAAACTAAATTTTTTTATCAAAAAATTTGTATGGAAAATTTTCAAGAAAAAAAATTAAAAAATATTTTTTTTCGTAGGGAATTTTGATGTCTGTATGTGTGATTTTATCGATAAAAATGTTTTAATTTCGTATGCATGTTCACTTTGAGCAAATTGTGAGCACTGGTTGGGGAAATCTTCGGTAGATTGGGCAAATCGCTAATTGGGCCCCAATTGGGCCAAAATTAGAGCCCAATTGGGAAAAACTTTTGGCTCTGACCGGGCAACCTCAGAAAATTTCCTGGAAGGAAGTTTTGTCATAATGGGCAACACTTTTTTGCCCTCAACTGGCACGAAAATCTGCTAGCATCATATAAGTGCATTTTCAGAAAAAAAA